ATTGTATTATACCTATGCAACTCATTTAACAATATAATGTGAATTTATAGTCTTTGAAAGTTAATGTTATCAATTATTTAGGATAATAAAGAAATACAGATTAGTAGGTAGCTCCCTAATACAGTCAATTTATAAACATGTTGGGTATGTTTTTAAGGTTAAACAAAGATATATTTAGATAATGATCTTTAAACACTTTAGAAATCTACAGAATGTGCCAACTAAAATGTTTTAATGTTGTGAGGGATTTATGACAATAAGATATGTTTGCTTCTGGCATTACAACATACTACAGAGAAGAAAATGGGCACTGAAAAATATCTATAGGGATTTTGTTTTCTTTGTGGTGAATACTAGCCAGTTTGGCAAAAAAAGCCACCCCTTGCCTTGGTTGCTGACAATAAATATTTTGTCCAGTCTGGCCCAGCAGGATTCAAAAGAAAGTAACTGCCAATTTTTGGCAATACATGGTCAAATACAGTCCTTCAAAATTCCCTGCTTCTCATAAATTCTGTCAGGTAGTCTAGGCTCATAAGACAAAGATGGGGGCTTAAATATTATATAAAAAGCTGAGGAGACTCTACAAGAAGTAAGATGTCCCTGTTATTAGGTAAGATTTCACCCTTAGGGATGTTTGATGGAGTTGTAAAATAGTCATAATTAAAAATCCCTTAGTTAAATTAGGTAAAAAAGTTTAGAGTCAGAAAGATAAGAAAATTAATAAAATATATTCTCTAAAACTGTGAAATACAAATGAACTGGGTATTCTAACTGTAATTCTTATTTAAATAACTGTTTTGTTATCTATATTTTTACTAGATGATAGTTGAAACTTTCCCATTTAATAAGATAATAGGGGGAAATGCTATGTAATAATCCTCTCTACATTCTAAATATGTTTTACTCTTCCTGGTTAATAAACAACTCACTGACCAGTGGCCAGACAGCAATTATAGGTGGGACAACCAAACTGAGAATACTAGAGGAAGAAGGACAGTGTCAGAGGAGACAGCAAAGATGCAGAGGAATCAGGATGTGTAGAGAATAAGATAACAAGTCATGATCCATGTGGCAGAAGGTAGATAAGAAATATGGCTTAATTTAAGGTTTCGGTGTTTGCTAGTACAAAGTCTGAACAATTAGCCAAGCATTTATAAATAATATAAAGTTTCTGAGCAATTATATGAGAGGAGCCATGACACAGGTAACATCTGCTTACTCATATAACTGCTCCTTTGACTTCCAAAATGCCCGTGGGATAGGATTGCTCTGATATTTAAATAACAACTCTTAATTTGCCATGTAATAATATATTTTGCTTTCATAATACATCTCTGATGAATATAGAGATGCCACTAGCCATTGTATCTCCAAAGTATTCTATTCACATTATCTATCAAAAGCACACTATTAATTTGGGCCTTATATAATATTGCTACAAGCCACACCATCATACAGTCAATGCTCAGTCATTTCTTCATTAGAGACCTATTCAAAGCCAAGGACTTTAGTGAAGGTTTTTGAACCAAAGGGCAAGGTTTTTTGGCATTACTGCTTTGTGAATGAGTGGCTGTCTTTCACTGTAGACATTCACTGCAGCTAACTCTCCTTCTGTTACACATTTGAGAATTAATACCCACAGTTAATAACTCTCCTCCCCTAGCTCTGTGAAATAACAGTTTTTAACTGGCAGATTTTGTTCCTCTCTTCTAGGTAAGCAGAAAGACCTGCCTTGCTACAATTATGTTTATCATCAGTTATTTGGTCAATGCTCATGTTCTAGGGAAGAGCATTCCATTTTAGACATTAACAAATACCCAAGGACATACAATTTCTACTTGCCTAAGCTCATGTTATGGTTTTACTTGACACCAGAACAGCTGATAACAACATGCTCCAGAATTAATGATTTAGAGACATGGGTTCCTTCTTTGTTTCTACCACCTAGAAACACCCCAGACCTAGGCCTATAGAGTCTACCGCATCTGGTGTTTGTGATATCTGATCGAGTACCATACGTTTCCCTGACTGTTTATATAGGGTGCTTGGTTACTTGATTTTATGCATGCTGGGAGAGGAAAATAATGGTGCACTGAAAATAAACTTTTTAGCTCTTTTAACCACCTAAAATATAGCATAGCACAGTAATATTTTTCCTCTAGAATTCATTCCCTGATGATTTTTTTTTTCTTACTTAACAACTTTCTCCATAAGGGAGTTCACCTGAAACGCATTAACCAACTTTGAGCTGACAGTCATGGATCTGTGTCTGTCTGTCTCTCTCTCTCTCTCTCTCTCTCTCTCTCTCTCTCTCTCTCTCTCTGTTTGTATGTGAGTCTGTGTGTATGTTTGTGTGTGTGTGTGTGTGTTTGAAAACCCTTATCTGATTTGTTTTATAGGGAAGAAGAAATTCAAGCCATGGAACTTGCTACGGCTCTGAAATTGCTGGTTTTAAGGATGTATAAGACTGGGGATGCGTGTAATGCGAAGAACTGATAGATAAAAGAATAAAGAGGAAGAAGAAGAATAAGGAAATATGGATAGATGGAACTTTTCCTGAGTATACTTCTTAACCCTCAGATTTTTTGACCCACCCCTTTTAACTTATTGTGACACTTTAATTGACCCCTGAGAGGAAGTATTAATAGCTGGAACTTTAGGGCTCCCATTCTAATAACCTCAACAGTTGTTCAAAGTGGACTAGCATGCAAACTCACACTTTTATAGCATGGGGCCAATGGTACACACTGCATAAGGGCACTGTCTTTGGAAGCACTATCACATGGTACTCTATGAGTTAAATTCATCCAAGTTCTCTTTAAATTTCCCCAAACATAGAAACACACACACACACACACACACACACACCTCACACTAAACTGAACATTACACAAGTTTATTGAAAAAAGAAGGCCCCAATTGACAAAAGTGATTAGATGAAATTAAAGGGTCCTGCACTGAAATAAAAAAAAATAGTAGAGTAAAGTAAAAACTACTACCACCTACATATTACACAGGGGACTGCACTGCAAAAAAAAAAAGGAGAGTAAAATAAAAACTGTTACTACCTGTATATCACACAGGGGACTAATATTCAAAATGAACAAAATTCTCAGTTCATAGAAGTTAAAGAAACACTGAAAGGATTTTTCTCTTATATTCTTCGTTGTGAGCCAAGTCACTTCTCTACCCCTGAATCGCTATGCCACAATACAAAAAATTAAAGAGAGCTAATAAATAGTTTGCAAAGGTTCAACATTCATAGTTTTCATAGATATGCAACTTAAAGCAGTGAGGCTATTCCACTTGACATCAGTCACAACAGTCACCATGATCTGAGAAAACAACAACAAATGCTGCTGAGATTGTGAACAAAGAATACTACATTGAGAGTAAAAACCAGATGACAATCTGGACTCATCCCATGAACATCAATACTGAATCTACACAAGTAAAAAAAAAAGGAACTTCCATATGTACTGATTCCATATTGTGGATAATTTCTGTAGTTCAGTAATAAATAGGACATGGAAGTAACTTTGCAACTTGATGAATTTAAATTCTTCATGACTGTAACCAGAACAGGTACAGCTGTGTAATACAGAAAAGTCAATCATCAACTGCTTCAACCACTGCAAGTTCTTATGAGCCTGTGGCATACTGTGTATTCCTTGGCCCACCTTAAACATTAAGGACTGACAGTGTTCTTTCTCAGCTGCTGCACAAACTGTTTGCTTTATTTATGCTGAATTTCTAGGTGATATTTTTCTAGCTTAAAACAATAATCCCTTTCACAAGTTGCTAACACTGAAAAAGGTCAAGAAAGGGCTCAAGTTGTGTGATATTTGATAAAATCAACATCTTTATTGCAAGACCCACCTGGCCAAGGACACGGCTGACTTCTGCCAGAACAGCCAGTCCCTCAGCTGCCCAAACATGAGCATGCCTAACTTTCTCCTCCCCTCCTCCTCTAACTTTAACAGAAAAAAAGTTCACCAAGGCCAGCCCTTTTCAGGACCCCTCATCTCCAAACCCTGCCCATCTTGTATCTGCAGACACTAGAAAACTATCCTGTTCATAAACATTGGGCCTTATTAACAACAGTCAATTGTTCCCTATCTGTAACATTAAACACCATGAGTTCTGTGAGAATGTCTCAAGTTTTCATAAAACCAGAGTAAACTACCAAATGCAAATACAATATCCATTCAGAATACATCTATTATCTTTTTAGAGGGCAAAAAAAAACTCCACAACTGTATACATTATCGAATTTCACAACATCTATAACAAAGGACATTTTTTTAGTAATTTTTGTTTTGTGAGATTATCTCTATATGTCAAAATAGAGCATAAAGCAAATTGATATGCAAAGCACAAAGAGTGTTTCATGTGAATTAAGTATCATCTAAGTTAACATCCATGTTTCCGTTTTTGCTTTACCTCATTTATATACTTTTCAAATTTCTACCAAACCTATACAAAAACTAGGCAATTATGAAAGACTGATATTGCTTCAGACATGAATGGCAGCTCGTTATATTTGCAGTTTTGTAACTCTCAAAAAAGAACTAAATGGGATCATAGATTAAAACAAAGTAGTATCATTTGAAGACCTGATTAAATACAACATCTGCTAAGCATTTTGTTCTTTCTTTATTTCTTTGAGATGAAGTTTCCCTGTGTACCAGCCTTAAGTGTCCAAGAAATCATTAGTAAAGGTGGCTGCTTGAGAACTCACAGAGATTCACATGCCTCAGAATGCAAGTGATATTATTTCTAATATCTTGATGTTGCTTGAATCACATCAACATTGTTGTCCAAATGTTATGTTGTACCACTGAGAACTGAGACATTGAAAACCTCCCACATATGGCATCCTGCTAGGCTAATGTCCCAAACAAAAGTCAGGGATGCAATGTATCCTGCTGTGTTAGGTCAGGTCACCAGAAAAGACCTGAAAAGTGCCTTTGTTCTACCTTCCTTATAAAGACTCTGGCCTTACTTCTCCCAGCACAGACTTGGGAGCAACTCCAGAGCCTCCTCCAAGATGTTGGTGGTCCTGCTCACAGCAGCCTTGTTGGCCCTGAGCTCAGCTCAGAGAGCAAATGCAGGTATGAAGGAGGGTAGACTTTAGTCTGTGAGATGGGAGTTTGATAACACACAAAAATTCATGGCTGGAAGAAATGTAAAAAAGATAAATGGAAAACTGAAGCAAAGGATTAGGAAAACATATTAGAATATTTATATTTTCATTTTGCACGGTATCATAGATTTTGCCTATAGTAAACTTTAAGAAACTATTCTTACAAAAAAAATAACATAAGTGCATTTGTGAAAAGACATTTTTGGTGGGGGATGATCCATGGGAGCATGATACATTTGACAGAGGGAAACTCAGTTCTCAAGAAGTAAAGAGAAGCCAATAGTAAATAATGCTAAATTTCTGTACAGAGGAGAGCAAAAACTAAAAAAAAAAATAATAATAATAAAGGTATCTTAGGGATGTTTTTAAGACAAGGAAAAAAGACTATAAATTTGAAACTCTATATAATCACCTAGAATTATCAGTGAATAATTTCTTAAATTATGTTTTAGCATGTGTGTGCATGCACAACTATCTGTGTATTGTACACATGTGTTGTGTGAGAGAAATAAGGAGGGAGACAAGAACACAGACACAACCACATACTTACAGGGAGAGTGTGTGAGAGAAAGAGAGTTTGAATATTTTTTTAACATTCCAGTCAGAGAACAGCATAGATTTCTATATCTACCATGTGATTCTATGGAACTGAATTTAAGTCATCATACAAGCACTTTTACCCACTGAGATATATTCCTGGGCCTGTTTCTCTATTTTAATGGTCCACATGTATTGTTCTACATGAAGTATTTACAGCAATGTTTATTCTTATTTCATGTTTTAATGCCAGCAGATATATTTCATATAACAATGAAGGTCATGAAGAAAAACATAAAGAATGTAAACCTGACAGACTGAAATTCCCATATTAAGATGAAGACTAACAGTCAGGGTTGCCAGAGAAACTAAGAAACAAAATGGTGGTTGTTCCTGATCATAGAATTCATTCTGGCAGCAGTATCATCAATATTGTCCAATAATAAAATAATTCTTAGTGGATATGAAAATGTAATTAAAAGTCATTTGTATTTTCTGCTGGAAAGTCTTGTAAGTATCTTCACACTTCTCTTGTGCTTATTTTCTAGAGATCATCTATGAAGACTCTTCTGCTCAGCTCTTAGGTAGGGCCAGAATCATCCTATACTAACCAATTAAGCATCATTTACTTCTGTAATTATTCAGTTCTATAACATCTCATAAATTTGTTATTTTGTGAAGTTAACATGTGACAGCTTACCCTGAGATATATAGGAAAGCTCCCATGCATTGTCTCTAAGACCTAGAAGAAAGCCATATACTGGAGGAGTAGGAAGCCAGGATTTATACCAGGAACATTTTGTCTCTTCCAGAGATGGAAGCAATAGCTTGCATATGATGAGCATATTGGGTGTCCTCATTTAAAATCCTCAGTGAATCAATGGGTTGAACAAAGAATCCTTTCCCATTATTCCTTTTAGAATTATTTGCTTCTACACTAACTATGTAATTTCACAGATCCCAGGCTCTCTTATCTTTTTAAAATTTATTTTTCTTACTCAGCTCTGCACCCACAGCTGAGTAATACATTAAAAAGAACTGCAAGACAATGAATGGAACATTTTTTGTTTTCTTTCCTATATTTCTTTTTTTCTCACATGGTTATGAGACCCAAAACACTATAGAATAGTTAAATATAGAGCACTGCTGTCACATTTTGCTACATTGCCTAACTCTAAATTATATCATTAAAAATGTTTTCTGTTTCATCACTTTTGTCTTGGAATTGTAATGAAAATAAAATCACCTTTAATGATCAAATTTAAGAAGAAAGATTTTTCCAAATAGTTGAGAAATAATAAAAAGTTAATACAATAAATATTTAAAAATTACATTTCCAAAAGTATCAGACTCAGAAATTTAGGAAAGGTGTTCTGGGACAAAGTGAAAATTGGGCTTCTTCTATATGGATATTTGTCCCTACAGAGGGAGAGCAAAAAAGCCAGAGCAATGGTCAACAGCATAAGAGACCCCCTCCTGGAAAAGCACCAAGACCTTCTGATTCAGACAATGCTGACAAAGATGGTGATGCTGTTGCTGATGAGGATGAAGGTGAAGAAGATGGAAAGAAACCTGAGAAACCAAGTCGCCCTCCTAAACCTGGAAAACCACAAGGCCCACCCCAGGAGGGAGAACAGGAGAAACCAAGTCGCCCTCCTAAACCTGAAAAACCACAAGGCCCACCCCAGGAGGGAGATCAGAACAAACCAACTCGCCCTCCTAAACCTGAAAAACCAGAGGAGGGTGGTGATGAAGAGGCAAGTAACCTCTAAAAATTTTCTGCATAAATAAAAGGCTCATCAGCACAACAAAATAATCAGACACTTTTTCATTCTAATAAAGATGTGAGATTCCCTCTGTTTGCTGTAAATAACTTTGGTTCAAAGGAATCTTCTTTTGGCCTATAGATAGAGCAGAATAGAACTAGGCAGGAAAACTAAACTGAATGCTGGGAGAGAGAAGGCAGAGTCAGTGAGAAGCCATGGAGTTTCCAGAGGAGAAAGGCACGAGTCACCAGCTGGGAACTTGCTGGTAGGCCATGGCCTCATGGTGATGCACAACTTAATGAGGATTGGTTAGTTTAGGATATAAAAGGTATCTAGAAATACACTTAAGTGACTTGACAAACAGTGATTTAAATAATATGGTTTCTGCATGCTTATTTTGGGGCTGAACACCAGCGAATGAATGAACAGCCTCCTGCCAACAGCACAGTGCCAAACTCTAGAGATCACCAGCCTCTTCCAAAACGCATAGATATCTTATACATCTAAAACTTAAAAGTCCTCTATACCTTGAGTTCTATGAAAAAAAATGTGATTTAAATTCATTTTCCATCAAATGTCTTAAGGCTAAAAGATTTAGATATCCAAAAAAACTAACATATTTCTCAGAAAATGTTTGTATTGCAGGCTAGGTCCATCTTCTCCCTGACCTATGTATTTACTTACTTACTTATTTATTTATTGCAGGAAAACTAGAAAACGGTTACCTTCAATGTCCTTTCAATGGAACAATGATGCTGTAAGTGAACCTCAACACTTCAATAAAATATTTAGCATGTAAATACTCTGTTGTTTTCTTAGTCTGAGCATGTGTGAGTGAAATGTGGGGAGTGTGGTCACATCTAAGGAAATTATACACCTCTTCACACCATTTCATTAGAAAGGGTCCTACTTTCTCCATTTATGAATCATTCCACTATCATTTGAGAGACCCCTTTTTTTCTTCTTAACTGGAGTTCTGCAAACAACATTGTTGTATTTCCCAGATATCTCTGATGTTAGCAGGATACTTCATAGAAGACATGGTTTTCAATATTAAAATATCTAAACAGATAAAACTACATAAACATGCTCTTAGCATGCCATGTGGGTTATTTGACCACAGCCCTATAGAAGAACTGCGTAGGAGTACTGCAGAAAGGAATCTTTGTTTCTTTTCCACAGGAAACCCTCTCAGTTCACAATTTCCATGCTAGGATCTTGCTGTTTGCCCAGGTGTTCTTTTGGGCATTCAAGTGTCAACCAGTTCACATTCTTCCTCAACTTGGACAGTCTTATAAATGCAATGGTGTTTTAGGGGCCAGATATTCATTGTTTTCATCTCCCTAGAATTTTTATAAATATCATATACCTGGTCATAATTGGCAAATGAAATTTTAAAAAATTTTATGTATACCTTAGAGCAATATTTCAATCTTAATTTTTCAGTATTTGTAAATGTTCATTCATTGACCTTTAAATGTTGTTGAAAATTAACTAGAAAGGTAAACACAAAATGTTTAGATGTTCAATAAAGTGAGCATTCCTTAAACCTTCCAAATAGTTGAGCCTTAATACTTAGACTCTTAACTTGCTGTTTTTTTAATGCTCAATTCAAATTTTTATAATTTTACCTAGATCATATCCTTCTTTTCCTCCTTTTACACAATTCTTTATGAAAACTAGAGTGATGTTCATGGAAGTAGCACAGTGGGAGATTCATAAAATGATAATTTGATATCATTCTGAAATTTTGACACTTAAATTCCTATGGACATCATTCTTTGGATGGCCATGAATCCAATATGGCAGTGAGCAGCATAGAGGATATGCCAAGATAGGTTAATATTTATATGAGTATTCATAGGCACATCCTTACCACATTCTACTACAATATTAACGAAGCTGCACATCATAATGAAACCATTCATTTTCATGACTGATGGTATTCTAAATGATTTATCAAACATCCTTCTGTTCCAGAAGAGTCCTCTGTTTACTCATTAACACACTTTGTATGTCTAAATCTGCATTATTGAAAATCCTAATAGTTATAATATTTCCTTTTTTAAGAAAAAAGAATAATCTCTTTGTGGATGTTCTAAGAAACTCTGGAATCTATGGAACTAAGCTGAAAGCCATAGTTTGGTGTTGGATGCATGTAAGAGGTTAAAAAATCATCAAAACTTCATTAATATATGACAATTTGTCGATAAAATAACATAATTTACTCAAGTGGCAAAAATACTTTATTAAGCAAACAGTTTTCAGGCAAATACCTATGATTAGATTATTCTAAGCCAAAAAAGATGAAAGCCCTCAATACATGAAAGAAAATTTATTTCTCATTTCCTTTGTCTTAATATCTTATCATCATTATTTATCTTTTATTTAATTTTACTGTGGCAATTTCACCCTTGTATGCATTGATTTTATTAATTTTGAGTCTCCTCACAATTTTCATCCAAATTACCAACACAGCCAAAACCTTATTCATGTCTACCTTCATATATATCAATATCCCTATTTATATCTGTCCAACTATAAAGCCTGCTGGAATATTGTTACAAGACAGTTGCTCCATAATTAAACCAATACCTCATCTTTGGTGACATGTAGTCCAAAAAATATAGCTTCAGAACTGTCTTACGTCTCTGTAGCAGAGTACTCATTGACATGCTTGATGCATGAACTCACACTCCAGCACATAAATAAATACTGCATTTTACCTGCCACAAGTTACTTAAACTTCAAAGAAGCTATGTGTGTTTTCATATTATAATCCAACATGACTTTGTGGTTTTTAACAGCTCAAATCGCATCCAATGTTCTCTGAAGTCCATATAAAAATACAAATCAGGCACCATGTTTTGTCAATTTCTTGTTATATGACCAAGTTCATGCCAGAAAGCAACTTAGGGCACATGTTATTTAAAGTAGTCCTTTCATAATACACAGTATTGTAGTAATATGGGGCGGCAGGGCTGTCTTTGAACTCTCAGAGATCCACCTGTCTCTGCCTCCCAGGCATTCGGGATTAAAGGTGTACACTGCTACACCTTGAACTCACAGAGATCCGTTTGTCTCTGCCTTCTAGGCACTGGGATTAAAGGCGTGTGCTACCACACACAACAACTCTCTTCCTTTTTTTATTTTTTACTTTAAGAACTTCAACTTTTAGTCTGCATATATTTTTAACACACTTTAAACCATTCAGAAATTTTCTTTGTCTTTGAATCTCTCTTTACTGTATATCTCTCTTTTTCTGACCACACGAGCCTTTAAATTACTGAGCAATATGGGTAGGATTAAAGGCGTGGCTTTGCCAGCTAGATCCAGTCCATTCCTTAGCTTTCCAGCCTCATGGCGGATATATAGGCTGTAGCCATGTTACTGCAACAACTGTATGGCATTTCAAGGTCCCTGCCAGCAAGTGAGCTACAACAGACAACACTCAAGTCCTCTCTCGGTAGCCGGCCCTCCTGCCTCAAATAGTCAGAGTTTGCCCTGGCAGGACAGCCCAGAAAGCTGGCATTTTTAAATGGCGCAGCTTTTTTCCTGCTACGGCTGAAAACCGAAAAGCATGCGTTCAGCTTTAACCGTTTAAGTGTTTCGTGGCAGGACCTCTTAATGACTGCAGGCTTTTGCAGCTAAAGCTGAGTCAGGAAGCCTCTCTTAGATGAGGCGCCTGCTTGCCTCTAGCAAGCAGAGCAGACCCGAGAACACAGCAAGTCTAGTTGCCATCAAACAAATCGTAGCACTTTACTCCAAAAGCTCTATTCAAAAGCTCTGTCTCCCGCAGGAGCCAGACAGAGATCGCAATGGCGGCACAGCCCCAGGAAGTCGCACTTTAAAATGACACAGCGTTTTTTCTGCTACTGTTGCCGAATCAGGAAATCTCTCTACAGCATGCCACCAACAAACAGCAAAAATCTGTGTTAAACTCTCTTTCCCTTATTTTTAAGCCTTCTCAGGTTTTTTAAATGGGTTTAGTTGTCCACACGTCTGGGCGCCAACCTGTAGTAGTATGGGGCTGCAGGGCTGTGTCCCCCACACCCGGCCGCCCACATGGCTAGCTTATGCCCCCAAATAATTACACAGACACTGTATTCTTTTAAGCACTGCTTGGCCCTTTAGCCCTAGCCCTTACAGGCTAATTCTCACATCCCGATCAACCCATCTCTAATCATCTGTGTATGGCACCCCAAGGTGCGCTTACCGGGGAGATTCTAACCTAGTCCATCCTGGGTCGGAGCTTCATCCCGGGAGCAGGGCATGGCGTCTCTCTCAGGCATCTGCTCCAGAGAGGAGAGCTGTGGCTTCTCTGAGCTCACTTCCTCTTCCTACCAGCATTTTGTTCTGTTTACTCCTCCCACCTATCCTCTAACCAATAAAATGGGCCAGGGCAGTGCCTTTATTAGCCAATGACCTTCCTCCATCACAGTATGATCCAGTGAGGTCAGCATTCATTAGAACAAATTGTAAGGGAAGCCCAGCCAATCACCTTGCTTGAAGCGCGGGGTCCCCTAAGGTTATTTTTTACTTATAATGATTGCGGGCGTGCTCCCCGGGTTCCCTTCTGCTTTCCTGTTCTCTGTGGGAACCTCGGTTTTGTAAATCCTTTCCTTATTAAAGCTGAATATCCTTTGATAATTTCTGTCTGCCATTCATTTACGCTGTAACAACTAACATAGATTTAACTTTCCTGCCGTCTCATAAACTCATATTTCTGGGAAGGATATTAAAAGGTACTATATACTAAGGTCTCCAGCCATACAGGCTGTACAAGAAGACGATTCAACAAGCAAAGCTTCAGAGGTACCAACAGCCCGACCATTAAAATGGTTAATTGAGAAACCAATTTGTGTTAAACAGTGGCCATTTACAGAAAACAAACTGCAGGATTTAGAACATTTGGTACAGGAGTAAATAGATGTTCACCATATTGAAGAATTAACTAGACCTTGGAATTCTCCTGTATTTGTTGTTAAAATCAAATCTGTTAAATTGAGAATGGGGCCAGATCTAAGAGCTGTTGACTATGGGACCTCTACAATCTGGAATTCCTCTGTCTTTTCTAATACCAAAAGGATGGCCTCTTATAGTTATTGATTTGAAAGATTGTTTTTTACTATACCTTTACAAGATTTTGATCCTACTGCACGTACTGGCTTTGTGGGAGCCTAGGCAGTTTGGGTGCTCACCTTACGAGACCTCGATGGAGGTGGGCAGTCCGTGGGCTTCCCACAGGTCAGGGAACCCTGATTGCTCTTCGAGCAGATGAGGGGGGGGGGGGACTTGATCGGGGGTGGGGGAGGGAAATGGGAAGCGGTTGTGGGGACGAGGCAGAAATCCTTAATAAATAAATAAATTTAAAAAATAAAAAAAAGAAAAGCATAGAGAAAAACTTGCCTTAAAATTGCCTACTCATAATAATTCTCAACCTACTAGGAGATACCAATGGATAATCTTCCCACAGGGAATTCTTAATAGCCCCACCCTATGCCAATACTTTGTAAGTCAGCCATTGGAAATAATGTGTAAAAAAATTTTTAATTCTAAGATTTACCATTACATTGGTGGCATTTTACTATCTGATTCAAACATAGATTCTTTAGAACAAATGTTTGAAGAAGTAAAAATGTTTTGCTAAAATGGGGACTAAAATTTTTTCCTGAAAAAAATGCAAAGAGGCGATTCTGTCAGTTACCTAGGTTATAATATAGGTTTACAGAATATTAGAGCACAAAAGGTACAAATTAGGAGACACTGATTATGACTTTCAAAGATGGGTTAGGAGACA